TACTGAGTTTTTTTGTGTGTGTACTCTGGAGATGCTTTTAATTCATAATTAGGAAATCCATACATGCAGCTGGTAAATTTTCCGTAGGCTACGAGCTTATGCTTTTCACACTGATGTCAGTCCCGTACATTAGACTTAGTAGACTGACCAGCGATATGGTTACTTATGGCAAGCTAGCGGGTTTGTTATTTAAGTTGCAACCAGCGTTCATCACAAGTGGGTTATGCAATGGAGTAATCATTCACTGATAGGATTACCCCAGACAGATAGTGCGCGTGCGCTGTGGAAAAAGCATTTAAGGGTTGGGACTAGTTTAGAATAAAGAGCTCGAGAATAATCAAGAACTTGGAACGAAACAAAAAAGCAAAATATGTGTTCTTTTTCATCTCCAGATAAGCGATTTGGTTCATTTTTCAAGATTTGATTCGGGACCTAAATCGGTTGGCCTATTTTAAAGCCCAATAGAATCCGCATGTCCGGACTCTCTGAGGAGAATATGTGGCCAGTGAACTGCATTAGACAGCTAGAAAGGGTAATAGGAAATGATGAAGATGCTGGCGACCCAGTAAAAGTGCAGTATTATGGTCAGAAATCATAAGAACCAAAATGAATAAAAAATTGACAAAATTTTTAGAAGATAGGTATGTAAGATAGCTAATAGTGAATGCAAGTTTGCAGGAAAGGAAATGGGTTAGAATGAGATGGAACTGAATGAACGGAAGGAGAGTTAAGAAATACCAAGAACACTAAGACCAGCTAGTGGTTTTACTGGGATGACCTCACAGGCTGGCTGCAACCATATAAGTATTTCGATTCTGGGCTGCACGCATCCATTTAGAAAGGAGATGAGCAAAATTTACTTTCAAAGTGTCCGAAATGAAACGAAATTGGCATTTTCATCCAACTGTGCTGCGTGTCACGGATGGCTTGTCGAGGATCTCCTGAAGTGAATGATTTTAAAAAAGCTGAACGCTTCATTAGCAAACATGATCAAGAATTCTCACTTTGTATTTTGTTGAATAATTCTTATTTTATTAGCATTTGCTGGTCACGCTAATAGTGGCCAACTGTGTCTGGATTTCGTTGAATGGACAGCAGCTTTGCCAGCGCGCGGTTGTTGCACTCCCATTCGGAAAATTTCCAAAGGTGAATAATTTTGACGAGTTTTATGCTTGGATCATTTCAAATTCTCTAGCTGTATGGCCAATAATTTTATATTTTGTCTTCTGATGGTCAAGAACAATGAAAGAGGATTAGGATCGCCAGTAGGCCAGACACCAGGTGAAGCAGCATTGGGCAAAGCAAATTGAGCGGCTGCAAGTGTTGCAGCTGTATTATGTGTATTTCGAAACAGAAATTGCAATCAAAGTGATAATAGCTGATAAAGAAAGTATTAACACTGTAATAACTAACTGCTTCTGCTAGTTTCTTTGAGCAGAGCCTTGGCCTGTGGTAATGTCAGCAGGATATCGTTCTCGAACAAATCACCCACAATGCCCTGTCTGCGATTAATGCCTGCTTCAGTTTCATCTTCAGCAGGAATATCTTTCAACATTCTGCTCACCTTTTTCGGATCCTTAAATACTTGGTACCAGAATTACACATACATTCGTATTCAAGACAGAGAGAAACGTGTGCCGCCTAACTCAGATCTTCAGGTCGAGTCGCATGTTAATTTCAGGGCCTGGATCTTCGGTTCCATAATACGTTTGGATTTAATCCATGTGGAACTTGAAATTCTTTGATCATTCTGGTGAATTTTGTCAAGCAAGTTTGTGAATAGAGCAGATGATGATTTGTTTTATTACTCTCTCCTTTGTATAAGTTTTCACTAACTCAAAATAATATGGTACTCATGTTCAGCTTCATATTTCTGCCTTTCATCTACTTGCTGAGCGTTTTCAAGTGGCAAATGCACAATACATGCTGTTTGCCAATTTTCCTAACGTTGAAGAGTTCCAGGAAATAAGCAGCCACTCGGAAGGTTTCTGTGGAATTTAAAGGCATGCGTGAAGTTTAAGAAGTAAAATTTGGGTCGCCTAAGTAATTCAGGACACTGAGTCCTAAATACTCCAAACGGACTGCACATGCGGGACCCATTGGGCTTCCTGGCCATGGTTATAGTGCTGGGAGATTTCATTAAGCACTTAAAGTGATAACT